TGCCTTTCTCTACGCACTAGGATTAATTTGACTAGGGGTAAGGTGGAATTTATTGAAAATCGACACCAAGAAGGGATGAATGGGAAATCGGAAACTCCCATCCATAATGCCCTTATATACCGCTACCTCACCCAGATCGGATCCGGGAAGCCTTTTTTTGGGACCTGGGGCTCTATAGACATAATTATCGACCCTATCATACCTAGCGAGACATTTTTCCAACTTAAGTGGGGAGTTGTAGAGACTATAACTTTTTGAAATTTCAAGGGGGACGATCTCGCTAGCCGAATCTCGCCCAACTTCTAAGTTTCGGTTTGCGGACTTGGTGGAGCCAATATGTCTCTTGGGGAAATTTGAAATAAACGCCTGAGAATCAGCTGAAGAGGATAAGCTACCAAACTCACAAGGAAACCCATCGGATGAAAGGAGGGAGGCTGAAGGACTTCAGCTGGTCGTAGGAGCGACCAGCCTCACGAGCGGGAGGCGGGGACCAGCTGGTCGCTTAACTAGCGTGTCGACTAGCTCCATCGGACTGGTCGGCCGGCCAGCCGATCGAATTTTTTTCGACATCGACCGGCCCCTCACCGCTACTTTCGTCGAAAGAAGAAGAAAAAATAATAGTCTTGTACATGATTTTGCAAAAAATGAAGAAGAAAGAGATGAGAGTTACCTTAGAAGAGAGGGGAGACTCAGATGTTGGAAGGAGGAGAAAATGATTCACATGTGAGGGACCACCTCCTTTTTATAAGCAATAAAATTTGAATTCTTTTGGAGGGAAAATTCCCTCCAAGTTAGGGGCCATTGGATGGACGCCAAGTGTGCAGTGAAATAAGCCTCCAACTTTAAATTATACTGCTCGACTTATTTAGGCGAATAAAAAAAAGACCCGGGACAGGGAAATTACTACCCCTTGCCGATTAACATCGACTAGGGGCAGGGGCTAATGATATAAGTTAGCCTACAAAATCACCCCAACGATGAATAAGGCGGGTCACTACACGTCGACGTGAAGCCATCGACCCTCCCGGGGGGCTCTACTTTTACGTGTGACCATCGACCCCTCGGGGGCGCTCTACCTTTACGCGAGGCCATCTACTCACCGGAAGTGACTTATGTGGCCACCCCAACACTTAGTCAAAAATCTTAGGTAAATTGACAAAGCTCCATGGCGGTTATTATGGGCACAACCTTTAGGCGGGAAGTTAGAGATCCCCCAGGAGAACGTGGGTTAGTGGGGAAGCCAACGTGGGACATGTGGCACCACGATCGCCCGGCACTCACCAGGCTTCCAGAACCTTTAAATACCCTCGAATAAGACAAAGGTAAGGGGATTTTTGGATATTTTCTAGCTATCTAAATTTCATCCTTATTTCTCCTGACGCATATACTGATTTTCACGCCGGAGGTAAAACGGGGGAAAAAGCCCCACCCTCACTTTTCAGATTATACACGTTCGTCGGAGTAGCAGAAATGCCACCAGGTAGATTAAGAGGTATTATTCTACCACCATTTCCCAATTAAGATCAAGATTCAACGATTCATATTTGAGGAATCGCGAACTAAATAGTAAAAAATTTTGGTACGGTTTTTTCTTTACTTCGTGGGTTTTTAGCAATACTCCAAGAATTTTATTCTTGAGCTAGTTGTGCTTGGTTAAATTGTTAATATCGTTTTTGGAAATTTCCGTATTTTTTATTCAATGATTTACTAGTGGTATGCCAAGAACTATTGATGATTTTATGAGTCTTTAGTCGTATCTGTAATGCAGCAGAGGATTAAACGTAAGGAGAACATGAAAATATCTATATTTCATGCAAGCTCTCAAATTGAATCTAAATTCATTTAAATCTCAATCTGAATTATGGTATGAAGAAAAATATTCAAAACCAATAGGGGAATTTGCTTGGCATCAAGTCCACCTACACTAAACTTAAGCCTCGGATAATGCAATCCACCTACAATAACTTTCTCCTGCATTGATCTCCTATCTTGTCATTTATAACACAATGGTGCAGATAATGCTAATAGGTGATCTCCTTCAATCATCTACCAATTCCGTTGGTCAGTCACTCTGCAAATACTATGGTATATCTAACAATATAACCGAACACAGAGACAATAAGTGGCTCATGTACATTAGCAATTTTCTTACAATACATATTGATAAATGAAAAAGGCGTCACCATAATGACATAGATTCCAACACATAACCGTTAAACAAGAAGCTTTTTTGATAACCTCCCTCCTGACCACACGCAAAACAATTGTATTGGCGAAGAAAAGAAATTGAAAATGAAAACCAGAAATTTTGGCACCAGTATTTGACGTATTAGCTTCTATAGATGTAGGCATGCTGACTCTGTGACTTCGTGCAATCTTGAAAGCTATGATTGTAAGTCCTGAATAGTTAGCACAGGAGTAAGGTGTTCAATATTTCCTTATCGTTTAATTAGAAGCCAAACTTTCGTACACAGAAGTTTAACCACTTACCAAAATTATTCGGTGACTGCACTTCTGTCTTATTTGAGGCTTATCTGGATAGTTCTCAATGCCCCCTTACTAGATTTCAAAAACCTACTTTCAGATTTATCTAGATTAATTTCTTTAGCATTATTTCACAATCCCATTTTCGTTTTTCTTTCTTTTAAATTAAATAGATCAAGATTTAGAGAATCAAACACCAACAGACATGCAATCTAATTATAAGAATTCTGCTATGTAATAGGTGCAGGGTGTTGAAGCTCAAGCATCAAAATAGAATGGTGGAGAAAGATGAACATAAATACTTAAAGTGGATTTCACTTATGTTGAGTGCCATAACAGTGTTAACACTGGAAAAGCGTGTTGGAAATTAAACTTGATTCATGAATGATGAAAAAAATTAAATTTGATACATGAATTAGTTTATTTAGTATTCATGCATTTATTTAAATCATGTATCCAAATGGTTATTTGTATCATATTGTTCATAGTATGTAGGAATAGTCATTAATTAGTCTATTAAGTTTATACAATGTATTTAGGATCCTTTGTACCTATAAAATGTCTTGTGTTTGAAACATTTTATAGAACCAAGCCATAGAACCAAGCCAAAACATTTTATAGAACCAAGCCTATAAAATGGTTATTTGTATCATATTCTCTGAATTTTTCTCTCTAGTTTTTCATCCCATAATTTTTTATTTCCAACAAAGTGGTATCAGAGCCATTTCAAAGATGAATAGTTCATTTTCTTTTGTTGTTCCCAAACTAACGAAGGAAGATTATGGATATTGGAGCATACGCATGAAGGCATTGCTTGGCTCACAAGAGGCTTGGGAAGTTGTAGAGAAAGGCTATGATGAACCAGAGAATGAAGGAGCTTTAAGTCAAGCTCAAAGGAATGCCTTTCAAAGGTACCGCAAGTTAGATCAACAGGCTCTCTCTATTATTCACATGGGTTTAGATGAAGCCATGTTCGAGAAAGTTGCGTCCTCAAGTTTATTAAGTTAAGACTTGCGTATATTTTTCATTTAGCAAGATTAGAGTTTTAATTTGATGTTATTTTATTTCTTAAACTTGTAATTTGTAAGTTTTGGATTTTTCAATACCTTGTTAATTTAGAAGCATTGGTGCTTTACCTGAAAAGCAAAGAAATTTAGGACAAATATTTATTAACTACAAACATGTAGAAAATAGACAGACCAACAACTTTTATGGAAAAATTGACAGTATAAGTTTAACATTACTATTTGATAACAACTGGCAACAAAACAATATTCTGTAAGAATTTTATGATGAAACATTCCATTATAGTATGGCAACACTTCACCGCCTTTTACTTTTGCTAAAGGGCCAAGGCTCCTCGCCTTATGACAACATTTTCTCCTAATTTTTTGAGGGTGATTGCCACCTTCCTTTACTTGAGTATCTTGCAGACTATTGTATCCACCAAGAAATCATCCTTAAGTAACTTGGTGTTTTCTCTTCCTCAAGTCCTTCCTAGTACCCACTGGTATTTTTTTGAAATAGTTGGGTGCTTTCCATGGCTGGTTGAGGTGTGGATTCACAAACTGCCAAGAAAAAGAATTTCAAAAACTTGAAATTGATGAGATATAAAATACAAATTCAGACAAGTGCAAAAAAATAGATCATTCTTTTAAACTTACCTCCATGAATAATACTAGACGAAGATTGAATAACTGGAGTCGACACAAGAGGTAAAACAAGAGTTTTGATAGAGTTGGCACAAGATCTGACCAATGAGCTGGCTCATGAGTTTGTGAAAATGCTGCCGAGCATAAATCAAAATCCTGCATTAGCTTCTAACAAAAGTTTGTAAAAAATGTTTTCACCATACTCTAAATAAAGAGAAAAAGAAACTCCTACTGATGATGCTAGTAGAGAAGAGAGAAACAAACGATAAAAGACTGGATTTGCCAAATTGCCCAAGCTTAATGCAGGCATATGCAGAGAAAAGACGTTCAAGAGATAAGCTAGTGACAGAATTCAGTCTCTATAACAAAGAAAGCCAAGAGAAACTATGCAGAAATTGTGTAAACACAGAAGCTAGCGCAATCTCTCAAAAACACTGATATCTCAGCTCCATGTCCATTTATCGTGAAATTCGAACATGTTCACAACTCATTATTCTTCAACCAATCAAACAGTTAAGATCAAGATTCAACGATTCATATTTGAGGAATTGCTAACAAAATAGTGGCAAATTTTGGTAAGTTTTTTTTCTTTATTTCATTGGTTTTTTGTTTAATCTTGAGCTAGTTGTCCTTGGTTAAATTGTTAATATTGTTTTTGGGAATTTCTATATTTTGTATTCAATGATTTATTAGTGGTATGCCAAGAACTATGATTGTAAGTCCTGAATAGTTAGCCTGTGAGTAAGGTGTTCAATATTTCCTTATCATTTAATTAGAAGCCAAACTTTCGTACACAGAAGTTTAACCACTTGCCAAAATTATTCGGTGACTGCACTTCTGTCTTATGGACATTGGATCATACACATGAAGGCTTTGCTTGGCTCACAAGAGGCATGGGAAGTTTTAGAGAAAGGCTATGATGAACTAGAGAATGAAGGAGCTTTAAGTCAAGCTCAAAGGAATGCCTTGCAAAGGTACCGCAAGTTAGATCAACACGCTCTCTCTATTATTCACATGGGCTTAGATGAAGCCATGTTCGAGAAAGTTGCGTCCTCAACAAAAGCTAAGGAAACTTGGGAGATTCTCGAGAACAATTTCAAGGGAATTGAAAAAGTGAAGAAGGCGTGCCTTCAAATCCTTCATGGAGAGTTTGAATCTCTGCACACGAGAGAGTTTGAATCTGTCTTTGACTATTTCACTAGAGTGTCCTCCATTGCCAATCATATGAAGCGGTACGGGGAGAATATTGAAGAAAGTCGTGTCATCGAGAAAATTCTTAGATCGCTTGACTCAAAACTTGAGTTTGTTAGTATTGCCATTGAAGAGTTTAATGACTTGGATACCATGACCCTTGATCAACTCATGGGGTCCTTGCAAGTATATGAAGAAAGATTGAAGAAGAAAGGTGAAACGATGGGTCAAGTTCTCCAAACGAATGTCTCATTGGGAGGTCAACAGAAAGAGCAAGGATGATCTCAAGGAAGAGGTCAAATTCATGGTCGTGGTCGTGGTCGCGGAGGAAATTATGGTCACGGTAATGAAAGAAATGATGGAAAACAAAATTTGAATAACGAAGGATCAAGTAATCACTCGAGAGGACGATGGCGTTGGAACTATGGCTCCAAGAGAGGTTGTGGAAGAAGATATGACAAGTCCAATGTTCAATGTTACACTTGTCATAAATATGGTCACTATGCTTCCGAATGTAGGAGTGACACCACCAATAATGAAGAGAGAGTGAATTATGTTGAAGCAAAGGAAGATGAAGAATTGTTGTTGTTGTTGGCAACCAAAGAAGAAAAGGATAAACAATTGTGGTACCTTGACACCAGTGCCGCAAATCACATGAGTGGCAACAAGGAGTTATTCTCAACAATAAATGAGTCGGTAAAAGGCAACATTGTTTTTGGAGATGAAACTAAAGTTCAAATAAAAGGCAAAGGTGGTGTTCTTATTCATGCTAAAAATGGAAGTCATCTTTTGATTTCTCTAGTTTATTATGTACCTACCTTGAAGTCTAATATTTTGAGTCTGGGACAAATACTTGAGAATGGCTATGACATTCACTTGAAGAATTGTTACCTTACTTTGAGAGATGTTTCTCATAAACTGATTGCAAAGGTGCCAATGGAGAAGAATATAATGTTTTTACTCAATGTTAATGTTGACCATCCAAGGTGTCTAAAAGCTTGTGTTGAAGATAATTATTGGCTTTGGCACTTAAGATTTGTTCATTTGAATTTTGATGGCTTGAAGACCTTGACGAATGAAGAAGTGGTGAACGGGTTGCAAAAAATTAATCATCCCAATCAACTTTGTGAACGATGCCTCATTGGCAAGCAAACTAGAAGAAGCTTTCTAAAGGAATCCACCTCAAGAGCAACAAAGCCACTCCAACTTGTTCATGCGGATGTGTGTGCCAATCGAACCGCCTTCTCATGGTAAGGAAAATTATTTCTTACTGTTTATAGATGATTTTTCTCACAAGACCTGGGTTTATTTTTTGAAGACAAAAGATGAAGTTTTTGGAGCATTCAAAAAATTCAAAGCCCTTGTTGAAAATGAGAGTGGCAACTCAATCAAAGCATTAAGGATGGATCGAGGTAGAGAATTCACTTCTAAGGAGTTTAACAATTTTTGTGATACCAATGGAATTCGGCATTTCCTTACAGTTTCAAGATCACCGCAACAAAATGGTGTTGTGGAGTGGAAGAATAGAACCATCCTCAACATGGTTCGTAGTATGCTTAAAACCAAGAGTATGGAGAAGGAGTTTTGGCCCGAGGCTGTTGCATGTGCCGTGTATTTGTCTAGTCTTTCCCCGACAAGGAGTGTTCAAGACATGACTCCACAAGAAGCTTGGAGTGGTAAGAAACCTAGTGTTTCTCATTTATGTGTTTTTGGTAGTATTGCCTATAATCATGTGCCAGATGAGAAGAGATTAAAACTTGATAAGAAAAGTGAGAAGTTTGTTTTCATAGGTTATGATGCAAACTCTAGAGGCTACAAGTTTTATAATCCTTGCAATGGAAAGATTGTTATTAGTAGAGATGCGAAATTCGACGAAGGAAGTTCGTGGGATTGGAATGTTCTGAAAAATGAAGAATATGTGATTTTTCCTTTCCAAGAAGGAGACTCTAGCCAAAACGCAAGTGAAGATGCCACTCCACTATATTCCCCTGCTCCTGCTCCTGCTCTTGCTCCTCAATCTCCTCATGATAGTCCCCCCGAAGGACCGATTCATATCAGAAATCTTGCAGAAATTTATGAAGAAACTGACATTGTTGATAATCCATCTTTGTTTTGTCTCTTCGTTAACATCGAGCCATTGAACTTTGAAGAGGCAATGGAAGACCAGAAATGGAGGCATGCAATGGATGAGGAGATTCGAGCAATAAAAAAGAACAATACATGGGAGTTAGCCTCTCTCTCTGAAGGGCAAAAAGCAATTGGCGTGAAATGGTTGTACAAAGTAAAGAAAAATACTCGAGGAGAAGTGGAGAAATACAAGGCAAGACTTGTTACTAAAAGCTATAGCCAAAAGCATGGCACTGACTATGAAGAGGTCTTTGCCCCCGTTGCTCGCTTGGAAACCATTCAATTAATCATTTCCTTGACAGCTCAAAATAAGTGGAAAATTTATCAGATGGACGTCAAGTCCACTTTCTTGAATGGATACCTTGAAGAAGAAGTATAGATTCAACAACCATTTGGTTATGTTGTCAAGGAACATGAAGATAAAGTTTTGAAGTTGAAGAATGCGCTATATGGCTTGAAGCAAGCGCCTAGAGCATGGTATAGCCAAATTGACAAGTATTTTCAAGATCATGGATTCATCAAATGTCCACATGAGTATGCTCGTTACGTTAAAAAGGATGTATTTGGAGGTTTTATGATTGTGTTCTTGTACGTTGATGACTTGATTTTCACTGGCAACAATGAAAACATGTTTGACGAATTTAAGAGAATGATGGCTTAAGAATTTGAGATGACTGACATTGGGCTCATGTCATACTACCTCAGAATTGAGGTAAAACAAAATGGAGATGACATTTTTATTTTTCAAGAAGCTTATGCAAAGAAAGTTCTTGAAAGATTCAAAATACAAAATTGCAATCGGGTGAGTACTTCCATTGGGTGTGGAACAAAGATGTCAAAATATGACGAGAGCACAAAAGTGGATCCATCTCTCTATAGACAGCTTGTTGGAAGATTGAGATATTTGACTTGTACAAGACCCGTATTCTTTATGGTGTTGGTCTTGTTAGCTGTTATATGGAGGCACAAACTCTAACTCACTTGGAGATTGCTAAAAGGATACTTCGCTACATTAAAGGTACCCTTGATTATGGCTTAGCTTATTCTTCTTCTACAAATTTCAAGCTTCATGGTTATAGTGATAGTGATTGGGCTAGTGATATTAATGATCGAAAAAGCACCTCTAGATTTTTGTTTTTCATGGGTAACACCGCTTTCACTTGGTGTTCAAAGAAGTTGCCCATTGTGACCCTTTCTACTTGTGAAGCCAAATATGTTTTCGATGCATCATTTGTTTGTCATGCCATTTGGCTACAGAAATTATTGGAGATGCTTCATATGCCTCAAAATGAAGCTACACCAATTTATGTTGATAACAAGTCAATTATTACTTTGGGTAAGAATCCTATGTTCCACGATCGAAGCAAGCATATAGATACGAGATTTCACTTCGTTAGAAAATGCATTGAGAACAAAGAAGTTGAGCTTGCTTATGTGAAGACCAATGATCAAGTAGCAGACATTTTCACCAAACCATTGAAGAATGATGATTTTGCAACGTTGCGTATTTGGATTGGAGTTATCAAGATAGAATCAAGTTTAGGAAGGGGTGTTGGAAATCAAACTTGATTTATGAATGATGAAAAAAATTAAATTTGACCCATGAATTAGTTTATTTAATATTCATGCATTTATTTAAATCATATATCCAAATGGTTCTTTGTATCCTATTACTCATAGTATGTAGAAAAAGTCATTAATTACTCTAATAAGTTCATACAATGTATTTAGGATCCTTTTTACCTACAAAAGGCCTTGCGTTTGAGACATTTTATAGAGCCAAGCTATAGAATACAAATATTTTTGAGAATTCTCTGAATTTTTCTCCTAGTCTTTCATCCCATAATTTTTTATTTCCAACAAAGCGTTGGATGGTTACCTGAACAGCCCCCATGCTATGGTGAAAAGAAAATTAAACCTTAAGCAGCTGAAAAAGAAGTTGAAGTTACCAATAAATAAAAAAAATTGTACGGTTTGTGGGAAATTCTTGTTTGGGCACATGAGTTCCCATCACAAATGGTGGCGCAGAGAAATGGAGCACGTAGCCATGGCTTAGATGGATTCTTCGAGTTCATAATTAAGGCTTGAACTTGTAATTTAGGCTAAAAATAAGAAAAACTCAAATTTTAATAACCAATATATATTTACAAGCAAAGAGAATGTGCATTTTACGTGCAAGGCACGTGCACACGAAGCAAACTCATTGCACCCAAATGCAGTCATGGAAAAATGAGAAGTTTACTTAGAACCAACAGTCTGTTTGGTGTTGATTTTTGAAAGTTATAGGAACGCTCTGATACCACTTGGAAATTCACGAGAATGCTTTACTATGTCAAATTGAAATTTTAGCGTTACCAAGTTTAAGTTCCAATTTACCGTTTGACCTTACATGCGGAATTAATACAATTAATTGTAACAAGTCACAAATTAATTGCTGTCTAGGTGATTAAACATACACGTCCAATTAAGCCTATGTTGAATTGTCGGTTTACGTAAAGTAAATAAAACAGTAACAACACCAACTCACAATATGATGACGGAGAAACCCCAACGTGGGTAAAACTCCGGGACCAAGCCAGTAGTTTCCACTATAACAATCCAGCCAATACAAGTTATGCCAAACTCCATACCAAGTCAGACCTACTGTTCCAGTCTCACGATCTACTACCGTAGATACTGCTAATCTCCTGCTAGCTTCCCGATCTACCTCCTCCAGCCCAATCTGCTGTCTAATACAGCCTCCTGATCTCTAGCTGATTGCATCAACAAGTGGAATTCCAAGAACCTCCTGTTCTTGTCCAGTTCCTGTGCTTGTCGTCCACCTCTCTCAATCTCCCAATGAGAGAGTCCCTTCCTCAACAGATTAAGAAGTCCAGGTGTTTTGTCTTCACAAAAAGTGATGTTTTTCCCAACAGTGGATTGCCCAGATCACAAGGTGTTTATGGATGAATTTCTTGTTCAGTTCTGTCTTGGATCACTTGAGAGAATATTGAAGATGATATCTATGTGAAGCATAATATGGCAATTTGTCTTTCACGTTCACGGCCTTTGTATTTATACCTTGGGGCAATTAGGAGTCCTAGGCCGTGTCAAACTTTTCCAAAATCGAAAATACGATTTTTCATATAACACCGTCGCTTGAGCGAAAAGCGAGC